ATGGTAAGGTTATGAGGAACAGGGCCCAGGTGATGCCAGGGCTCCTGGACCAATGTGTACAGGTGCAGCCACACAGGGACAGCCAGCAGAGGCTGATTAAGATCTATGAAAACTGCCTCAGGGGTTCTGATGCTTCGTACCTACTGTATACTTAGTGAATATTTAAAGCTTCTTGTATACTTAACGATCACAAATATTTAGCGCTCAGAGGCCTCACATTTACTTAGCCTGTGTCTCAGCCCTCCCACCCCATTGATCAATTTGGGGAGAATTGGCATCTCTGCTACATTGAGTCTTCCATGAACACGGTATGTTTCTCCATTTATTTAGATCATCTTTGATTTCTTTCATCATCATTTTTAATGATCAGCAGCATGCCCTGTACCCAGATTTATACCTGGGTTTCATTTTCTTTAGAGTAATTTTATACAGAACTGTGCCTCTAATTTCAGTTTTCACATGCTCGTTGTCTATATATAGAAATGCAATTGATTTTTGTGTTGATCTTGTATCCTGAGGTTGAACTCAGTGATCAGTTTTAGACAGAGCCCTTGGGATGTTCTGTGTAGACAATCATGTCATTTGCAATTAGTCGTCTTTTTTCTGTTCTAATCTGTATGCCTCTTCCTTCCTTCCCCTCTCTCCCTCTCCCTCCTCTCTTTCTTTTCTTTTCCTTTCTTTTCTCCTTTTCTTCCTTCCTTCCTCCCTCCTTCCCTCCCTCTTCTCCTCTCTCTTCTTTCCTTCCCCCCACCCCTTTTGTTCTTTCTCTCCTTCTTTCTGTTTCTTTCTGGCTTTATTGCACCAGCTAGAACTTCCAACACTACACTGAGTGAGTGGTTAGGCAGGCATCCTTTCCTTATTCTGATCTTAGAGGGAACGCGTTCAGTCTTTCAACCATTAATGATACTGTTATCTGTCAAATGCTTTTTCTATGCTTTTTCTGCATCAGTGGAGATGATCACATGATTTTTCTCCTCCTATTCCTTCTTTTGTTTCTCCTACCTGTCGATATGGTGGATTCCATTGAGTGGCTTTTGGTAGATTTTAGCCTCAAGGAAAGAAACTGAAGTTTTGAGCCTCCCACTTATGTTGTAGTTTGGGTAGTGGGAGATTAATTAGTATGGAGGCCACTGAAGTAGTGCAGGTGAGGAATGATGGTTCCTGTAGCTGCAGTTGACAGATTAGCACAAGCTGGGGGATGGGGTGTGCTGTAACAACAGAAGTGTTTTTCCTCCCAGTTCTGGAGGCCAAAGGTCCAAGGTC